ATTAATTACTCAGCTTTGTTTTAATTTTCATATGCACAATTTTCATCTTTTATTATCATTCAGAGAATTTCTTAAAAATCTTTTTGGTTCTTGAAACTTTTTTTGCACTCAACTATAATAATTAAAATAATTATAATAATTAGAAAATTACTATCTAATTGCTTAACAACACAACAACAAATAATAATAAATTTCAACTGTTATTTAATATCTATATTTTCCATAATCTCTAAGTCTAAACCCTATAAATTTTATTTTTAATTTGTTACTGTGCTTCCTGGAAGAAAAAAAGTAAATAAAAATTTCATATAGTAATGTGATTCAAATATATAATATTTTTTTCTTTTTTACAAGGGGGAGGAGGTGTTAAAGACAGTAGTACGAACGTGGTTTTACTATACTAAACATGATTTTTTTTTTTTTTTAAAAACATTGATTTTACGAGTGTAACAAATTAGAATTGTGTTTTTTTTTCTGACTTCAGTTACAATTTTTTTTTAATTCTTTATAAATAATGAGAAAAAAAAATAGAGTTAATTTAAAAAAAAAAAAAAAATGCGTACGTATGCTAAGGGGGAGGGGTCGGGGAGGAATGTCTTCAAAAGCGTACAGGTTGGTACAAGGGGGAGAGGGGTACTAAATCAGTGACTTTACTGTGTACGTACTTTATGAATGCCCCCTAATAATAAATTTTTCATTAATATTTGAAAAAGTTTCAAAAAAATCATCATATCATCAAAAAAATATTGGTGCTTTACAAATTTGAGGTTGGTTGGGTTTTGGCTATTTGTAGTGAGTCCTTTTTTACTGCAGTATGGAATAGGCGTAAGTCACGGGGTAAAGCATAAAGGGCTATGACGTTTGTCTGACGGGATAAACTAGTTATAAATGCTGATCCTCATTGAAACGCCAGTTACAATGACACGACTCTGAGGAGATGTTTATTACTTAATCACTACACAAAATATGTTTACACATCAGCATGTTTTTTTTCCATTCTGAGGTCTTACATTGTTGTTAGCATACTTTTTATTTTGTAATCAATTTTTTGTTTTATAAGTTTTTTGTCTGATGATATATTTGTTGTATATCTTAGTGTTTACGAAACAATTTTTTTTTTCATTATTATTATTATTATTGTTAAGTACTGTATTAGGTGCATTGTCTGTTTTATTTATTTTTAAATATTCCGTTATTAATTTTTATTTTTGTCTTAACAACTGTCAAAATATGCTTTGTTCGAAAATTAATTCTCCTTTATTATAATGTACTTTATTTCTTATTACCAAAATTTCATATAGTAATGTGTTTCAAATAAAAAATATTTTTTTCCTTCTTTTTTATTCACCAAGTTCGTCTATTGTTTCTACATAACTAAATAACATGAGTTAAAAAACCAATTAAAAAAAAAAGGTTTCAAAACCACCAAGATTTAACTTTGTAGAAATATAACTATGTTCAAAATTATTAGAAAAGTATGTTAACTCTTAACAGAATGAGAAACCAGATATTCGCAAAGCCAAAAAAGAAAGAAATTAAATAACCATCAAAAATCAATCAAAAAAGAAAAAAAAAACAACTGATAATTGAAATACCCAGAGTAACTCACTTAAACTTTTTCAAAATTAATTTTCAGCATAACTAATTTTGCTGAATCCAACTTTCCTTGTAAAGCCATAATATTGAGCACCCACATGTAAAAACATTGTCAAAAATATTTCTTAAAGATAAATAAGAATTTAAAAACAACAAAAACACAAAAGCAAAATAAAATTATTTTAATAAAAATACAGCATAATAAAAAATACAGATGAAAAAATATGTGTTAATAAAAATAATACTTGCTGCAAAAGTGGAAAAGCAAAAACACAAAAACATACTAACTTACAGAGATTGTAACATTGGCAAATTAAAAACAATGCTCTCTGGAAACTCCTGTAAATTGCTATGTCTTAACTCCCTAAAACAAAAAGTTATAATAGAAAAAACAAAGATTTTAATGGAATAGTAAAGTAATAAATTATAACTATATAAGTATCATGGACTACTATAATTACACTGCCTGATTTGTTGCATTTTCCGCAAAAAATTAAGATGCCAGTTTTTTTACGGATGATTTTCTATTATGAGACGATTAACAATATTTAATAATTAAAAAGATGTGGTTATTACAATTATTATATCAAAACTTGGTTTATGCTTTCATACTCATGTATTATGTATTTTTAGTTATATTCTGACTGATTGTCTGCTTCATTATAATCCATTAGAGAGTGGAATAATGAAATAGACACACAAATAGTCTACTTAGTATTTTGTATATAGTCGAACTGCTTTTTTATGCAATGTTATTCAAGTGGAGATAACTATTGTAGTTTTTGAAAATTTTTTTTAGTTATAAAAATGATTAATAAATGTGTTGTCACAAACTGTAAAACTGGCTTCTCTACTGGTCCAAAAAGTCTACATTTCATTTTCCTGTAGAAAGCAATTTGTGAGAAAGATGGATATATTTTGTCAATAGAAAAGATTGGGTTCCATCTAAATACTCTGCTATTTGTTTTGATCATATCGAGGATATATTTATCAAAAATGGGAAAAGATGTAACATGAAATGGGATCTCCAACCTGTTCTAACTATTTACACAGATTCATTAACTTTAAGGGTGCCAATGTTTCCAAGAAAAGAATAAACTTCAAGGTACTTGGGAAAAGATGAGTTCAGTGATTTTCGAAATGTGGATAAAATAATTAGTCTTGATTTGTTAACAGAACAGCATTGCCCACCAAGATTTAAATTTAAGAAACTTTATAATAGTGTTGTTTACTATAAGCTCTGTTTTGATTAAATATCAGGTATACCAACTGTGTTTGAGACAATAACAGTTAATAAAAATCTTAATGTTTCATTGTCGTATAAATAATATCATATTTCTTTACCTGAATGGTGTCGCAGTGGTCATAATTGCAAATTAACAAACTGTAGTAAAATTTTCCTGCTCATATATGAAATAAAGCTAATGCTTTTAATTCAATTTTGAGTTAAATGAAATAAGATTCTCCACAAGGCAGACCACTATATTCTGCTTCAATTATATGTTATGCACTTTACATCACACTTCAGCACAGTCATATAAGTTGTTGTTATGGTTGTTATGGTTGTAATGGCCGATACCATCTTTTATTTTATTAAGAAAAATTTAAAGTGGTGATATAAATGCATTTAAAGCTATAAATGTTTTGTTACAAAAAAATTGTGTATCAAGTGACTGTGTGCTTCTTTTGGATGAGATATATTTGCAAAAAGCAGTGCAATAGTGGTAAATATGTTGGTGAAGATGCAGAAAGTAATCTTTATAAAGTAATGTTGTTTTTATAATTGTTGGGCTTCAAAAATCTATTGCTTATGTTGTGAGATTATCACCTGAAGTGTATATAACAGGTTCATGGTTAAAAAAAGATATTGATAAGTGTATTACCACATTGTACCAATCTAAATTTAAAGTAAGAACTGTTGTCGCAGATCATTATACCAATTTAAATGCTTTTTTAGAGTTTCATAATGCATATACTGGAGATGGAAAATTATTTATGTCATCCTGTTTATAATGGTGTATTAAAAACATACTTATAATTCGATATAATCCATTTAATAAAAAATGTTAGAAATAACTTGTTAAATGCAAAAAAATATGTTTTAATTTTATTTTATTTGGTTTGCTTAAAGACAAAATTGAAGTTCCTGCTGGTTACATAGCATGGAGTTTATCTTATAAAATTTATGTTATTAAATGGGAACTTAAAAAAAGCAAGGAAAATTAATTATCAGGTCACTCATCCTGGAAATAACAAACAAGATATCAACCTTGCATTGGCAATATTTGATGAAACAACTGCAGCTGCAATTTTGAGTTATTTTCCTGAAAGAAATGATGCAGCACAATTTTTATTTTTGTTTCATAAGTTATTCATCACACTTAATTTGAAGCAGAAATTTAATACATCTTAAATACCAATCAACTTGACAATGCTGCTGTGAAGGGTGATAACAAATCCACATATTATAGAGAAATTGCAAATTGGATTGATATTTGGTCAAAACTTGATTGATTTACATTTACCAAACAAACTTCTCTCGCTTTTATTACAACAATACGAGCAACTAGATCTCTTATCTATGATTTGCTTGAAGAAGACTATACATATGTTCTTACTTCCAGGTTACAAAGTGATCCTTTGGAGCTACGCTTTAGTAATTATAGACAAATGTGTGGTCTTAGCAACATGTAATGTTATTTTAAGTACCACATTTATATACAACTATCTGAAAGCCTATTTTAATATTCTGTTTTACTTGAATAAACTGAAGCAGGCAATCAGTTAGCGAAAAATCCAGTATAAAATATTGTGTAACTACACTTTAAAATTTTAATTTTTATATTTTTTATATTTTAATAAAATATGAATAAAACATTCACAATCCAAACATAAGAATCCAAGCTTTCAAACATTAGCCATAAAAAAAATGGCCTTTTATTTTTTTAAGGAAAATGCAACAAATCAGGTCGTGTAATTGTAGTAGGCCATGTAAGTATTAATTTTGTTAAGATTTATTAAAAATTTCAATGCCTTTAGTTGGCACCAAGATTTTTTTTATTTTTTACAGAAAAATTTATTCTGTAGAAAAAAAATATTCCATACATATATCAGAGTATATATATATATATATATATATATATATATATATATATATATATATATATATATATATATATATATATATATATATATATATATATATATATATATATATATATATATATATATTTATTTATATACATATATATATATATATATATATATATATATATACATATATATATATATATATATATATATATATATATATATATATATATATATATATATATATATATATATATATATATATATATATATATGTATATGTATATACTTCAAAATAATAATCAAATGCTCACAAATTAATGAGAGAAACCAATGAAGCAAAAGTATTTATTTCAACAGGTTGTTCAAGTGGAAGGTTGTTTAAAATTCTAAAAACAAAAACAAGTTATTAAAAATAAATCTTGAAAATATTTTAGATTATACAAAATAATTAAACTTTATACAGTTTTAAAATTAAAAAGAAATTAAAACTAAAAATTAAACTTTAAGCATTTAACTTAATTAAACTTTTATAATATTTATAAAAAATTACTCACAGCTCATTTATGTCTGGAAGCATATCAAAAAAACTCTTATCCAAATATGTTAATTTTGTGTTTGATAGATTTCTAATGTAAAGAGATTAAAATAAAAGTTTTAATTTCATAACCTTTTCAAACTTTTCCCACAAAAAAAAAAAATCTTACATAGACTTTAGGTGTTTTGAATCAAATGAGCCACTTCCATAGTCTTTAATAGGATTATTAGAAAGATCTCTAAACACAAAAAATTATTGCAAAAAAATATATACCACAGTATCAATATATGCAATATACATACAAACACACATGTACAACCCTCGGAATTAGGGTCAGCATTCAGCAATGCCGACCTAACAGCCGACCTGAAAGTGTTTGAGATTGGCTAAAAATTGCCGACCTCATTTCTATGTTTTATGGTCAGACCTTTATATCAAATAACTTTTGCAGATTTGATGCCGACTTCTAAAAGATTCTAAATCATTTTTCCTGATTGTGAGGGTTGCATGTATACATACACACATACACACACACATACATACATACATAAATACATACATACATACATACATACATACATACATACATACATACATACATACATACATACATACATACATATATACATACATACATATCATACATATACAGGGGCTATTCTAGAAAAAAATTTAGGTGGTCATCCCCCCACCCCACACACATGATGGAGACAATTTTTTTTTGAAAAAACAATGAATATTTGCCATAAAAAACATTTAAAAAAAAAAGTCCTCAATTTTTAAATTGGGCAGCTCCCAAACATGATTAAGGCACTCTCAAAAACAATCTAGAATAACTCCTGATATATAAATATACACACATATACACGCATAAAATGTCATTGAAGATGTCATGTGACCATATTGAAATAGGCATTAGGGGGCATTAGGAGGACAGTGCAGGTACTATTTAGATATAAAGATCGTTCATTATGGCAAAAAAAAAACTTATATACATTCCTTTTTGTTTTAATTATTTTATTAAGAATTAAAATAAATTTTTTGTTTGCCAATTTTTTTTAACAATTTTATTCAAAATTTAAATAAAGCATTAGTTTTGCCATTTTTTAATTTATGTGAAATAGCATATAAAACTAAGTTTTAAAATTCTGAGGTCGACAAAAAATAATCGTCCCAATTTTGATAATCATCCTGATTATCAAAAACTAAGAAAAATTATAAAATTATCATCTATTACTTTAAAGTAACTTCACAAATATTTTTATAATATATAATCTATTAAAATTTCTTTAGGTAATTAAATTAATTAAATTATTAAAGTTCACAAAGTTGGGAGGACTCAAATGAAATGAAGGATTAAGAACATTCAGTAAGATATTTATTTATAACTTAAATAAAATGTTCATTTTGACACTTTTGTTTTATTTTAAATTTAAATAAAGTGTTTGTTTTGTCATTTTCAATTTATTTGAAATCATAATTAAAACTTAGTTTTAGCATATAAAAATAAGTTTTGAAATTTTGAATATTCTGGAATTTTCTAATATTGTATTGAAGGTTCTAGAAGGGTACAAATTTGGAATGTTTTACAAGTTTCTATAATATATATAAATATATGGTATGTGGGGTTTGCACATTAGTTAGACCAAAATGAGGCACAAATTGGCTGCTCACAAACTTAGTAAAGAAAAAAAATACAATCCCTTATACATTAAAAAAAATTTAGAGAAAAATGGTTTCTTGGTAATCTAAGAAGAGATTTTCTAAATATGCTCTTTTATCTTATCAAGAATGTCCTTATATATATATATATATATATATATATATATATATATATATATATATATATATATAATATATATATATATATATATATATATATATATATATATATATATATATATATATATATATATATAACCCTCGGAATTAGGGTCAGCATTGCCGAATGTCAACCTAACTGCCGACCTAAAAGTGTTTGAGATTGGCAAATATTACCAACATCGCTTCTATGTTTTATGGTAAGACCTTTGTATCAATTTTTTTTTACCGACTTGATGCCGACCTCTATTAACTGCATTTTTCCTAATTTTGAGGGTTGTATAAAATAAAAAAACATTAATAATAGTTTGGGTATTTATCGAATGTTTTCTGTTGTTAAACATTGTTTAATGTTTTCTGTATTCAACTCATCTTTTATGATATAATTATCTAACATTTGTCAACTGGCTAAATATGTTTAATAAGGTTACCAGGCTTACTTTGGTTACCAGGCCTTTTGATAAATAAAAAATATGTAAAGCTTAAGTATAATGTGATTTGTGATACCATTTAATTACTTTTTATCACAAATCATAATTATAAGCATTTTGCTTTTTTAAAAATTGCAAAATAATAATAAAATAATTTTAATAATCAAATAATGATTTTAATTTTTCCATTCATTAAATCACCAAAAAACTATTTTAATTTAAAATTAACTCAAAAGACCTAGTGTTATTATACTATTGTTTCTAATTAATTATGTTATATTAATAATTAATTTATTATCAATTACTAATATGCTATGAAAAAATTTTGAATTTCATTTTTTTAAATACAAAATAATTCATCATCTCACCACAACAATAAAATTTCCCTTTTTTGATCAACTCATTTAATTGACTTGTATGTAGACAGTATCTCCATTATGTGTGCCATTTTGTGCCCCATTATGTGCCCCATTATGTTCGCCATAGAATTTCAACAGAACATTCTCCAAAATTTGCTAATAAGAATTATTTTGCCTGTTTTACTTTTTGTTTAAATTTTTTACAAATCATTCATTTGTAAAAACTTAGTAATATACGAGATAATGGAAAACTTAAGTAAGGTTATCCTTTTTTAAAAAATAAATGAAAGAAGAAAAACATTAAAATAACACAAAAAGATCATTTAGTAGGAGAACTGCCTGCATTGGGAAGTGTAACAAACCTTTAGCAAACTAAAAATCAAAATGCTAATTAATAATATTATTTTATTAAAAACTTTTTAAAATTTTTTTAGCTAAAAGCATTATTAAAATTTTAAAAAATTAAAACTAAAGAAAGCATGTGGTTTAGATATTTATATTTATTATATTTCTATTATGTTTTATTTATTTTATTATATTTATATTTATTATATTTCTATTAGGTTTGTTTTTTTGTTTTGCTAGTTAACTGATGCTGTTATTAATTAAAAGAAAAAATAATTTTTTTTTAAATAAAACAACAAAATTCTGAACAATTGAGTATTTGCAACTCTATAAGTGCAGTTGTCACTGTAGTTCCCATACCTCCATAGGTGAATACACCTAGATCCCATACCTGAACAAAACATATAGCTAAGCTTATATAACTCCAAATTAAAAAAAAAAAATGATTAAAAAAATTTTTTTTAGACAATATTACTAATCAAAAAAAGTTTAACCGTGGCATAAATAGTCTAGGCCTATGCAAGATTGGCATTGCCTATGTAAAATGTATTATGCGTAACACTTGATTACAAGACCTGGGTTGGTGTACGTTTATTTTTTTAAATATAACAATTTTTTTCCTTGCAACAAATGCAACAACTATATTTTTTTTTTTCTATTTTTATATACTTATAATCTCTCACTTTATACCTTACACATGCCCCTGTATATAAGCACATGCATATATTAAAATTTTTATAATATATATATATATATATATATTTATATATATATATATATATATATATATATATATATATATATATCATATATATATATATATATATATATATATATATATATATATATATATATATATATATATATATATATATATATATATATACATATATATATATATATATATATATATTTGTTTTAATGTTATAATACAAGAACTATTGTATTTTATGTTATAAAAACAAAGTTTTTAAAAGAAACCTTTTTCTTTAAAATCAGTTAATTTTTTTACATTGTTTTTGGTTTTGTTTGAATTGGCATTTTATCTAGTGAGTACACAAAATAATGCTGGCTATATTTAAGTAATATGGCTAAATAACTGTACCATTATTTAGTCATTATTTAGTCATTATAAAATATCTAGATATATATAATTATTTTAATAACTATTAATTTAAAGATTGATAAATAATAAATAATTGTAAACCTTTGCTCACGAAAAAAAAAAGTGCTATATGGAACATCCTGAGCTGTAGAGAAGTGATAACAAATTATTTATAAAGTACAAGAGGAAGTGTTTATTAGCGTTAAAGAAACAACGGTACAACAAATTTTTTTTCTTTTATGTACCCAAGAGATCCTTACGGTCTTATCAACTTGAAATGAATGAATCCAGAATACTTTCAAGTAGAAACAAAATGAAAAAAAAAATTTGATACAACTGTTTCACCATAAAACATATAAATGAGGTCCGCAAAAAATTGCCAATCTCTAACACTTTCAGGTTGGCAGTTAGGTCGCCATTGCCGAATGCTGACCCTTATTCCGAGGGTTGTATATATAAATATAAATTAAATTCATTATTCATGTTTTGTGTGACACTAAACAGGCAGTTAAAGATATATATCCATATATAAAATAATTCTTACAAAATCAATACTTACAACTTATATAAAAGTTGAATTCTTCTAACAGCATTTGGTACTGCATTTAAGAATGAGTTTTTTATAATCCTTTAACAAAATAAGATAACAATAATTATAAGTATTATATAAACTCTAAAACAAATATTAATAAAGAATAATGTAATTATAACTTACAGTTCTCTTAAAGATGGAAAAATTTTAAATGCATCATCTTGGATGATAGAAATAGGGTTATTATCTATAAATCTAAAAAAAAAAAATTATTTTATTTGAACTTTATTTTAATGAACATTTGTATAACTCAAAAACTCAAAACAAACAAAATGAATAAAAATCTAAAACAAAAATTACTAATGGATGTTTACAGAACAATCATTTTTCTCTATAACAGTTATTTTTGATAATTTTAAAAATTTGAAAACTATGTCATAATTTTAATATAAAGGAAAATTTTTTTTAAATCAATCTTATAACTACATCAAGTACAACCATAAACAGCAAATGAATGTTGCCTCAACACCTAAAGCACTAACAGTGTCACCATGGCACTGTTTGTACTCTGATGTTTTACAGCTATTTGTAGAATTAGCTTCTATAAGAGGTTTTAAAGTCTAACTACCAGCAAACTTCAAAACCATTAAACTGAGTTTTAGAGCTATACCTTTGTTAGGAGATAATAGGAGGCCACTAATAAGAAGCCGCAATATTCATGATTTGAGTTAAGAAGATCCAGCAGGAAACAGTTTAACACAAATTTATATCTATACCAGCCTAATAGATGAAGTAAAGATCAATACAATTTTACTTCTTACTCTTCTAACTTTCTACAAAAGGCCTTCAACAAAAAGTAGTAAAGTAGCTGGATACAGTTACTCAGATTTTTATTGAGAAATCTCTAGCCTTTACTAAACAAATAGTCCCAAGGCAGGGGTATTCAAGTCAGAGTTTACTTCTCCAAGCCTGTCTAAAATAGCAAATGCTACAGAAGCAAGACATGGGGTAAGTTGTACTGGATTACATTGTACTATTAGAAAACTGTTCAACAAGAATTTTACTCAACAACAATAAATAAAATAATTTTTAATGTTAAAAATGGCATATTGTTTTTTTATGTTTCATGGTTAAAAAAATATAGAGCAGCTATAAAAAGCTGTTTGTACATTTTTAGATGTAAAATAAAATTACTCAAAAAATTATATCATTGATTTTGAAAATTAATTTCTAATTATTTTTTTCTCCATTTATTTAACCATAAATAATGAAAATTTACAATGATAAATTATAAATTTACATAAATAAAGTTAGGTGTCACTCATATAGTTGAAAACTAGTCTATGGAGTGACACCTAAAGAAAAAAAAGAAAAAAAAAAGGAAAGAAAGATAAGCAACAATTACAATAAAAAAGATTTAAAAAAAAAAAAAAAAAAAGAAGAAGAAAAGAAAGTTAAAAGTAAAAATATTTATAAAAATAATAATAGTAACAAAACTATGAACAAAAATAATAATATAAAAAATAATAACTGCAATATAACAACATAAAAAGAATTATAAATGATAAAGCAATAGTAAGATAATTATAGTATAGTTAATATTTATAAAATAAACAATTTAAAGAATAGTTATAACAATAATGATAAAGCTACTGCAACTACTGAAGTATTCACTTATATTATTCAAATGTATTTTATTATTAAACATTTAAGAGAAATGTTTGAATGTCAAGAATAATATATCCTGCTTTGATTTAATAGATTATTTCAAAACAGAAATACTTAATTTTGTAAATTATATAAACAATAATAATCATGTAAACAATTAAGTACATTGTACAAAATTAATTAACATATTCAAAAACCATTTTTTGATTAACTTTGTGCTATTAATTTTGATTAATTAAAAATAATGACTGAAAAAATATGAAGATTTCCAAAATGTTTACATTACCATGGTGCCTTATTTATTAAAGTTCAATATACAGGACTTTAATAAAATAGACATAAATAAACTGTTTCCCTGGCAACCCTATATTTACTATACTTTTCATTAATACATTTCATCTTACCAAAGAGATTAAAAAATTATATTATAACTAAAATTGGATTTTTTTAAATCAAATCATATATGAACTCTTGGACAGATACTGTTAGGAATTCTTGTACAGTTGCATCATTTTAAAGATAAACAACAATTCAAAATAATAAAAAAACAGAATTGTTTGAATTATTTTTATTATATTTTATTTTATATATATTTTGAATTACATTTTTTTCAGTTAGAATTGTTTTTGATATAAATTTGGTTCAAGATATAAAAAAAATTGAATAACTCTTTATAATAATACATATATAATAAACCCTAAAGTCTTTAGGGTTTATTAAATATATATATATATATACATATATATATATATATATATATATATATATATATATATATATATATATATATATATATATATATATATTTATTTATTTATATATATATATATATATATATATATATATATATATATATATATATATATATATTTATATATATATTTATATATATTATTATTATTATTATAAAGGGTGTTTAGTAAAGAAAAAATAGATCTAAAATTCTTACACCCCAAGTAAATGCTGGAGGTTCCTCCGTCAAACAAACTACTAATTTCCTGAATTCCATTGCCTGATAACTTTCTAAAAATTTAAAAAAAGTTGTATTTATCTTTTATAAAAATTTTTGAAAAAACAACAGTACAAAAGAGGAAAAATTAATTTATTTACTGAAACCATGCAAGAATTAAGGAATTCATTTACTCTATGAAAACAGTGACATTTAAATACCATGGCCTAATGTAATTACACATCTTGATGTGTGACATTTCCTTTAAAAAATAATGAGGCAAACGTTTGAAAACTTGTCTTCTTGGTGATGATGTTTTTTGTGATAGAAATGTTTTATTCATTATATATTAAAATGGTTGAACAATACTTTGCTTATCTTTGTTTACATACAATATGCTAAACAAGCTTTTTTGTTGACTAATTACCTGCTTCAGTTTTTTCCATTAAAATAAGGAATACTGAAACAGACTTTCAGATAGCTATATATTCTACTTAAATTAACTAAATAATTTAAGTTACTTAACATAATATGTAAAATGTAACATGTTGCAAACACTAATTATAACTCTCAAGTGAAAATAAAAGCATAGGTAATTTTTTTGAGTATTAAAGAATAATAAAAATAATATTAGTTAGGCATTGTGTTATTCTTTATCATTTTTAAACATGGACATAAAAACAGGATTTGTTTTTACACGTGACTTTAGCAATCATTAAACGCGCTACTAGAAAGCTACAACTTTCGATTAAGTAAGGTCTACATTAAGAATTTTTTTTTTAGCTGCGACAGTAAGTTTTGCATGCAATATGTTAAAACCGGTAATGCTGCTACAATCTGAAAAAGAATTTAAATAGTTATCTAATATTATTGATAGATAATTTAGTTTTTGGGGTTTAGCTGTCAATGTATATCATTGGTGGATTAAGACTTCGTGGGGCCTGGGGCTTATTTTATATTTGGAAGCCTTTTTATGTGCCAGAGCCTAAAAATGACAAAAGAAAAAAAAAGGTTCTCTAAAATTTTAGGGGCTCTTAAACTTGCGAGGGCCGGGGCTATAGCCCCCCTTAGCCCCCCCCTGATCTGCCACTGGTATATGGGCTATCATCATAGTCATAAAATATGTTATTATGACTATGCTAACATTGGCAGTAGTAAGTTTTATGCTAAAAATGTTTAAGTTACATCCTGAGGGGTAACGTCATCATTTGAATATTGACAAACAAAATAGAGAAAACATTTTAATTATATATTAGCACAAACCTACATTATCAATTTAAAAATAAGCAGCTTTTAAAAGTTGTGAAATTGCAATGAAAATATATTGTTATATTATTTTTTGAAAGATATCAATTACCTTCAGTTCTGATAGTGTTTACTTAAAAATATAAAAAAATATATAAAAGTGAATCATATATAAGATGTAAAAAAATTGTGTAATATTTTTTACCTACCTGCACTGAATGTTAAAAAATGTTAAATATTAAATTTGAAAAACAAACTACTAAATGTTCTTGTTCTGGAACATGCAACATATACTTAAGTGCGGTAGTGGTGTAGTGGTAGAGCGCTTGCTTCATAAACGAGTGGTTCCGAGTTCGATCCCCACCACGTCCCTGGTAGTACCGCGCTCAACTCGTTTCTCCGCGCAGCGGCCTTGTTCGTCAAAGTTCGTGTTTTAGAGTTATAGAGTTGAGAGAGGGTTATAGCCACAAATAAGTAGCCTCCTCGTCTGTAGTGGCCTTCTCGGCCTTGAGGAGGTGAATTAAAATAAAAAAAAAAAAAAAAAAAAAAAAAAAAAGCCACCAAAACTGCGCCTGATTTCTGTTAGATAAAATTCTTGCAAATGGTGCATTGCTATAAGCATCAAGCGGTGCCTCTTCCCAATCCTGATTTCTTTATTACAGCATTCAAAGATTCAGTTACATTGTTTGTAATAAAGCCTTGCATTAAACCAACAGACCTCAAATGTCCAATATAAGCAATTGAAATGTGTGCGCTTAAGTGGTTTTCAAAATAAATAACAAAGGCTTCACTCCAAGAAAGCCTTAATGTACTAATATTTATTTCAAGCTGCCCTTTACTCTGACATTGTAAAAGTTCTTGTATTTGAGATTTGTATACACTTATCTCTTCTTTACCAGCATAATATTTTTTCAACCAAATCTCAGCCTCTGACAAAATATGGTTAGAGCACATTACTAAATTCCACCAGGAAATGCTTTTTGAATAGACATGCCCAGACCAGTCTCACCATCTGTTACAACTACAACCTGATTTAGAATTATTTATAAACTACAACCTGATTTAGAAATATTTATAAACTAAACATCTATCAAAATCTGTTATTTATGTTTAAAATTTATAACAACATGCTTCCAACATATTTTCAGCCTCATTTCACCTTAATTAATCACAAATACTCTACAAGATATTCCATTAGCAATTTTCTCATACCTACAACATCCCTAAGAAAAACAGACTTCTCAATAACATTTCGAGGACCACGTTTGTGGAACTATTTCCTGAATAGAGACATGAAAAACATGACTTTAATTAAACTATTTAAAAGAGCCGTTAAACTATACTTATTAGATTTAAATAATAAAAACATTCTTTTGTATTTTTAAAAAAACATTTATATATTGATTTGTTAACACGTATATATGCTTGTGGCCTATGTATATTTTGTGAACTGTGATGTGTTGTATTATGTACAAAACTTGCAATATTTATAAAACTTATACAACGGATATTTTAAGAAGTTAATACGTAAAACTTTATTGATATTTTCACGAACTTAGGAGTAGGGTGATAAGACACATTGTCTTCTGCTTGCTCCTGTCAGAATATAAATATTTAATTTTTAATTTTTACAAAAAACATTGTAAAATGATTGTTTATTGACGAAATATATATATATATATATATAATAATAAAAAAAAAAAATTGGTAGTTTTGTTTTAAGAGTTTTAAAAAAATGTTTATGAACAATATCAAACTTTCAATTGTGTAATACAAAAGCTATAGACATACATAGTTTTTCCACAAAATAACTCATTTGTGCCACTAAAATTGATAAGTAAAAATCTCCTAAATTAAATGTTGCATCATATGATAGAAATACATAGGAGCACATAACAAGCTGGTCTATGGATTTCTGCATGCTAAATGATACTGACAAGTCAGGGTAAGTGGATATTGTCCATACAAATCCTGGAATGAAATAAACAAGTTCATAAAGAGTTATAAAGGAATCAGTACCAATTTATTTACCTGCTGCCTTAACACTTTTTACATAATTAAATTGTTTGGATTTCTTGGCTAAAACTGCATCTGTTCGTATTTGACATCAATGAGTAGATCTTTGTAATTTTTTGAATTAACAATTGCACTCCTCATTGATAAAGCTGTTGGTAGGAAGTTAAAAGCTTTTTTAGAGTTTCCTAAAATCCATTAAAATATACTTTTGTTAGACATAACAATTTTTAGTCAGGAACCTATGAGAAATATGCTTTAAACAAACATGTTACTGAACTATTATTAAAAGATAATATGAAAAAATTACCATGTGGCTTAAGGACAGGAAGGTTGTGGTTTCCCATATAATGAATGACAAAAACATATTTTTGGCTTAAATCTTTATACACAAACTTCTGAAATAAAGTTGATGTCCCAGTAGATATAACTGTGGCATATTGGAGTTTTGAGTAAACTGGAGAGCCACGTGGAATTTTACAGCATTCACTCTGTTTCCATCTATATCCATCTGCACGCCAGTCATCTCAAAAAACAGTCTTTTAAATACCTACAAATAAAAATAAAAACAACTTTATTATTTTAAATACATCTAACAAGAAATGCTTCTGCCTTCATTGGTACTTATTAAATAATAGACATAACATGTTATTGTATTTTTAAAATTCATCTACAGGTAGACGGGCCCCAAAAACTCACGCACCCCAAAAGCCACATGCTCACATTAGTACCTGTTATTCATAGATTAAGCCCTATCAAGGAGCAAAACAATTTTTTTTATTTGACAAGATAGTTTTTTAAAAGGGAAATGTTAAAAATAAGAAAATTACTCTAATATTTTGAAAACTATTCACAAAACACTATAAAATGTTTTTTTCAATTGTGTGACTTTTTGACATAATAGCCTATAAAAACTTGAAATTTTCATTTAAGTTTGCAAAGTAAAGTTTTTTGTAAAGATTTAAGACATACTTCTGCAAATAAATCAATAGAAAATAAATAAAAATGACAGTTGCTAAAATAACTCAACTTAACTAATGAGTATTTATGTGTGGTTTTTGGGGTCCCTTAACAAAAAAAACATTAAATTGCATTTTTTCTTTTTTCTATTAATAACTATTTAACAATCAAATAAAAGATTGACAAGTTGTTTGTAAAAAATATTAATTATTGACTCTCAAATAAGTTGATCAACTAATTGACTATTACCAATGGAATTTTCTTCATATCACATATTGTTATATGGACATAAGAACTGTAAAGTCAGTTTATTGGTGTATCCTTCAAACTGCTAACATCTTCATCACTTTCATGCTCAATAACCTTATGTTTGAGTGAGTTGTTGGTTGCTGCAGCAGCTAAAAACATTAGCGGTTTCTTCCCATCCACTTTACAAGATAACTTTCTGCAGACATTTTTACACCGTAAAAATGCTTCTTTTTGTTTCTTTATTATCTTTATAAGTCCAACACATTTTTTCCTTTCATTGATCCGTGAACCTGCAAAACTACTGGTCGTGCAACTTTTTTTTCAGTAAGATAATCATCAAACTCTTTATACATATCTAATAACCAATTGTGATCAGATACACCATGATTGCACGTTGTTATTAGAAGATGCGGAATATTTGCCACAGCTTCCTGTGGAGCCATTTGATTAGTTATTCCAACAGTACCAAAGAGTACTTGACAGACACAAAGGTCTCCTAAAATTACATAGAAATATTATACACCACCATCCTTTCAATCTATATTATAAATATTTATCAAAAAGGCGATATGGAAATAGCTACCTGAAAATGATACTAGAGGATGAATGGTGACACATTCACGGTTCTCTCTTATCATTTTACAACATGTTTCCCCTTTTGCAGCAAAAACAAGACCAGCAGGAGTACCATCAACACCAAAATTTATAAACTGTGGTGTTTAATTGTGATTAAATATTCTGCATAGATCAATATTTCCAGACCAAACTCTGAAACAGCCCTAAAGTTTCCTTTTGGGCTGCTTCAGTCATAATGCCAGCCTCGATCAATTCCTCTGCAAGACTGTCTAAAGACAACCATGACAAACAATTAGTAACTCAGTTTTACTAGAACTATTTTCATGAATGTAAAGTAAGAATTCATAAACTGATAACAAGGCGTAGCTCTGGGTTAAATTTTAAATAAAGCATATGTATACTATGAAATATAATAACTCAATATTTACTCATACCAAGGTGGGAACATGCCATTTCCTTAGTGAAATTGAGAGCTCTATTTGACACATTTCCATTTCGTTTGAGTGTTAAGCTTGGATTCTTAGCTTTAAAGCGCATCCAGAACGATTTACCTAATCTGCGTTTTAAATAAAATTAAAAAAAAAAAAAATTAACAAGTTAAACTAAAAAACTTCAAGCAATCACATTATATCTTAGTATGTTGTCTTTAACTACCTTTTATATATATATATATATATATATATATATATATATATATATATATATATATATATATATATATATATATATATATATATATATATATATATATATATAATATATATATATATATATATATAAAACATAATTACTTGTTTTGTTTCAAAGCATTTTTTGCATTTGCTGATAATGCTGTGAATTTTCTCCCACCTTTCAATCTTTTATTTGTGTATTGTCTAACTTTCAGAACATCAAGGACAAGTTTTGTTGGTTCTGCTTTGTTTATGCCCTGCATTGCTCGATTTTTATTCCTAATGTATGAAACAATTGACATCTCTTCTTCCTCCAAAAGAATTGCACAGTACTGCCTTTCAAGACCATTGACTATTTTCCCATCCCATGGTTTATAGTTTCACGATCTTTAATAAGTAGAAAATGTCTAGTTTTAATTGCAGGATGTCCTCTTACATTATTTTCTTTACACCATTGAACAGCAGCTTCAAGTTGTTTGTTTTTTTCTAATGTAGCTTTTCTTTTTATAAGTGCTTCAGCATTAGAACTTGGGTTTAGAGATTTCATCTGCACGCGAGTTTTAAACTTCTTGCTGCTGTTACTCATGTTTATTTATTTTCTTAGAAACAAAAAATCGAAAATCACATAAACTTAACTATCCTCTACGTAAGAGCGTAAAATAAAATCATTTTATAAGTTTAGTATAACCAAAAAGATAGCTACAACTACTACAAATCTACTCTAAATCTTGAATTTTCGTAATAATACTTAGATTTTTGTCAAAACTAAAATAGCTCATGTGGTTTTTGGGGTCCCAACCATGCGGTTTTTGTAGCGCCTCAGGTACTTCCATAAAATATAAGTTTGCAATCAAAATACTATATGAAGGGGAATTTAATATAACAAACTTATTCAAAATATGGGAAAGTTAAAACTAATTTCAAAAAAGTTACACACGATTTAAGCTATGTGGTTTTTGAGGTCACATACTAAAATATAGCGAAACTTTACATTGAAAAAAAAGTAAAACAAAAAAAAAAAAAATTTAACCCCTGGGAAGAACTTTTACTATATAAAAGAATATAAAAAAGAAAAAAAAAGTTAAGTTTTTTGTTTTGTACAAAAGATATGACAAAAGAAAAAATCATGTGGTTTTTGGGGCCTGTCTACCTGTAATAGCTAATGAATATTCAAAGTACACAACAATAAATATACATATATATATATATATATATATATATATATATATATATATATATATATATATATATATATATATATATATATATATATATATATATATATATATATATATATATTTATATATATATATATATATATATATATATATATATATATATATATATATATATATATATATATATATATATATATATATATATATATATATATATATATTGTTGTGTACTTTGAATATTCATTAACTATTACAGGTAGACAGGCCCCAAAAACCACATGATTTTTTCTTTTGTCATATCTTTTGTACAAAACAAAAAACTTAACTTTTTTTTTCTTTTTTATATTCTTTTATATAATAAAAGTTCTTCCCAGGGGTTAAATTTTTTTTTTTTTTTTTTTACTTTTTTTTCAATGTAAAGTTTCGCTATATTTTAGTATGTGACCTCAAAAACCACATAGCTTAAATCGTGTGTATATATATATATATATATATATATATATATATATATATATATATATATATATATATATATATATATATATATATATATATATATATATATATATATATATATATATATATATATATATATATATATATATATATATTAGGGCTGTACCGGATTTCGGCTCCGGCTCCTGCTCCGGCCGAAATCCGGCCATTTTGACAAATCCGGCACAAATCCGGCTCCGGCAAAAATTTAGCAAATCCGGCATAATTTTAGCCGGAGTTTTGAATTTTGTCAAATATTTATTACATTTTTTTGCCCGTGTTTACATGTATAATATTTTATTTATAAAAATCAATTTTTTTTGTAATTCTATATTTTATGAACCTCATATTTGTATTTATATTTCTTTATAATTTAATAAGCTAAGTCTAATTTAAAACAACAACGCAACAAAAAGTTCTGAAGGGAAGACACACGATATTCTAGAGTGATGCAGGTATAAAGACTATGATGTCAACCCTAATCAAGTGAATGGATGAGCGTTTTAAAAGCATTAAAAAGAGAAACCTCTTTATATACTGACGAGACTGGTTGACTCGCAATTTAAAACTAAATTCTTCTCATTACAGGCAACACTGACAGCTGAAAAAACAAGATTGAAGTCAATCTGAGCATGCTAAACAGAAGATTGACAAAACTGAAGAAAATCCACCAAAATAAGCCGGGCTTAATAATTTTTCTACATCATCATCATCATTACTCTGACAATTTATTGATAAAATTATTCAGTCTACGTCCGGTGGTGGCAGGGCACATAAACAACAATTACTAAAAGGCATTGAAACTCAGCTAAGGAAATATCCGAAAGAACCAGAATTAAATAGACACAATGATCCACTACAGTGGTGGAGTGACAAAATCCCGGAAAAAAAGTTCAATAGAATTACTATAAGCTTTTAAAACATATGGCCTATAGAATTTCTCTAGAATTTCAATTAATTTATATATAGAAATTGCTATAAAACTTTTTAAATAACAACAATGAAGTTTAACAGAAAACAGCAGTCACTTGGTATTCTGAATAGTCCACATTGTTGACCATGCTCAACACCAATTAGGGATGTACAGGATTTTGGCTCCTGTAGTTTTGTTTTGAAATCCGGCTCCGGCTCCGATTCCGGCCGGATCTGTCAGTAGAAATCCGGCAAATCCGGCTCCGGCCGGATTTGAAAGAATTAAATCCGGTACAGCCCTAATATATATATATATATATATATATATATATATATATATATATATATATATATATATATATATATATATATATATATATATATATATATATATATATATATATATATATATATATATATATATATATATATATATATATATATATATATATATATATATATATATATATATATATATATATATATATATATATATATATATATATATATATATATATATTTGAAATTCACTACCACCAAATCAAAATTTCCATTTTTAAATCAAAATATCCCTCTTTATAATTTTTTTTTTTAAACTCGACCCATCGCTTCGCTCGGGTCTCTCAAATAAATATTTTTCTATAATAATCTTAGGGGTTGTCCATTAATTAATCAACAAATAAAGGGGAGGGGGGATCTGAACTTTTTAAACAATTTTTGACACGGGGGAGGGGGGGGAGGTCAATTTAATTTTTTTGAGTTTCATTGCTTAAATAACGGAAAATTAGGCTGAGTTTGTAGCGTAGTTTCTTTGGTTAAAGGGGTTTGGGGGAGGGAAGGTAATCAAAAGTTGACGTATTTTTATAGGGGGGGGGAGGGGTCTCTGAAAATTTGACAAGGGGAGGGGGAGAGGAAAATTTCAAAAAATTGATAGCATAATTAATGGACAGCCCCTTAATAGTGCAGGCCACAATGGACCTTCGTGTGCACAAAAAATGACAGGTCTCGCTCGATTTTCATTTTGCGTGACAGGTGGTATGACGTAACTGGGTTTTTTTTAGCAAATTAAATTTTTTATATAACATTAGAAAGAGCATAAATCAGGTGTTCAAAATAATATAAAAAACATATGTTGAAAACTTTTACTTAAAAAGATACAGGGCTAAATATTTTTTTATTAAACCGGGGGTAAACCGCTGCTTTGTGAATTTTAATAATTTTGAAAATACTTTTTTGAACGCAAAGTTTTTTGTTTTTTGAAATTTGTTTTTTAATACAATTTAAGAAATATTCGTCGTTATTATAAAACTTACATTATTTAAAACGAATTTTAGACAAAAATTATATTTTTTAACCTCTAGATTTTTACAACATTATACTTGTTTGACGATTTGCATGTTTTGATAATGTTATTTTATTTTTACATAATTCTACCTAAAAGAATGCAACAATTCGAATGATTTGTTTTTGTTTTTAGCTTTTAAAAACGTTTCTATACTGTATTATTGCTGTTTCACATATTAAATATTATTTACGAATGTAGGACGAAGAACGAAAAAAAAAAAAAGATAACATTTTTATGACTTTACTAAATGCATTGTTTGCCAGGAATATGATCTTAAAAAAAAAGTATTTCTGTTTATTTGATTTAAATATTATTTCATATATCTACGTTAAAATATAAATCTACGTATTTTTACATCTCTCATCCTCTAAAAATACGATTTGGGGCATTTTAGATATGTTCTTCTAATAATTTTTAAAAGTGTCTCCTAGCAATTACTATATTTATTTTCAGATTGTAAAAACCAGTTCGCGTGACGTTTCGGAAAAACTAATGGTATTTTTAAGGCATAGGTACTCCTATCATGATCCAGAGGCAATAGATTGTTACCAAAAGTTAATAGAAATACCACGCGAGGAACTAGATGAAAATGGTGTTTATAATTTAGAAGTTTACAAAAACGTGAAGGCGGTGAACTTTGAAAAGTTTAGTTTACAGAGACTGGTAAAGAAGTAAAGTCGCTTAATGATCAAGAATTCTTTCTTGGAATGAACACTATCCCAAATTCTGATGACGTCGTTGCAAATGATGTTAAATTATTTAACATCAATTATTTTGTTTGCTGATGACTCCAATCTGTTTTATTCTCATAGGGATATTAAAACCCTCTTTAAAATAGTTAATGAAGAAGTAAACAAAGTAAATGAATGGTTTATTTGTAATAAACTTTCACTTAACGTTAACAAAACTAAATTTTTTCTATTTCAAAAACCAACTAAAACAGGAAACCTTCCTTTAAAATTACCCAATCTTAAAATCAATAATATAAATATTACTAGGCAAACAACTGTAAACTTTTTAGGTAATATTTTAGACGAAAATTTAACATGGAGGAAACATATAAACACTATTGAAAGAAAAATTTTAATAAACATTGCAATGATGTATAAAGCAAAACCATTTTTGGATATAAGATCTCTAAAAAGTTTATATTTTTCCTTCATACATAGCTATCTAACTTACGGCAATATCGTATGGGCAAGCAACAGCTACGCTAAGTTAAATAAAATTTATACTAAACAAAAACATGCATGTGGAATTGTATTTGGAGTAAAAAGAACTGTGCCTTGTGAGCCACTTTTACGTAAACTCAATGCATTAAATGTGTTTAAAATTAACATATTCCTCGTCATACAGTTCATGTATCAAATAAAACATGGACTGTCTCCAGCGATATTCTATCCTTATTTTAGAGAAGCAAGCCATAAATACCCCACCAAGTTCTCAGAAAATAATTTTGTAACTCAAAAGTATAATCTAAAGTTATGTTCTTATTCTATTCAGTACAGGGGTCCAATTTTGTGGGAAAACTTTCAGCATATTGTTAATATTAAAGAAAAAACACTTCCGCAATTCAAATTTAAATTAAAACGTTATTTAGTACTTACGGATTTTAATATTGCAGATCTT